TTCTTGGAGTTACGAAGGGAGGAGTAGAGGTTCAAGGTGCAATCAGTACTGTTGTTCTACTCTGGCACATGCAGTTGCATTTAGTGGCATAACTGATGCTGCTGGGCTTTAATAGGGATCACGTGAAACAAAACAGTGACTCAGTTAAAATCAGAGGTCAGATCACTGCATGACCTCTTCCTTCTCCAGCCTGGAGCATCTTTGGCTTCAGGTATTGGGAAAGACAAGGGTTCCTCACCCTCAGATGGGAGAAAAGGGCGTGCACAGTCTGTGCACATTTTGATTTCCAAGGGAGGAAAGAGGCTGTGGAGTCTCCTCACTTGAGGATATGCAAGAACCATCTGGATGCAATCCCGTTCCAGTGCTCTAGGATGACCCTGCTTGAGAAGAGGAGGTTGGACCGGATGACCCACTGTGGTCCCTTCTAACCTGCCCCATTCTGGGAAAGGTCCCTGTGTGCCAGGGTGGGATCCCCAGGGACAGGGCAGTCCTCATTAGATGTGCTGGTCTTGTGCCACTTGCCAGCCTGTCGTGGATTTTACAAATAACTTTCAAGAATTGAGTAGGAGGTGTTGAGTTTCTGGCTCTACAATGGGTACGTGTGCTATAGCTGTTGGTGCAGGGTTCAGACAGCAAAATTGTTTCCAAAGGCTTAATTATAGAAAATGTAACACACCTGAGAGGCTGGAGCACTGCCTAACCATTGCGTCCCTCCCAGAAGGGTTTCCTCCTTTCTCCGTGCCTGCTGCAGGGTGCACAGGCCATGGATTTGGTATGTTGACTTAGTCTTACTTAGGGTAGTATGAGCAGCTTGCTGTGGTCTCTTACTTCTGTTGTTTAAGCAACCTAGTGCTGCACCTAGTGTTGTTTGCACCTAGTGCTGCATGTCACTGTACACTGGAGTCTGAGCACCTGGAAAAGGTGAGAAAAGCAGAGTGAGATGGAAATATTATTGAGTCTTCTGTTCAGCTGGAGAGAGTTACTGTAAAAGTTAGAGTGCTCTCGAAAACACAATCACCATTTGTGTTTCCCAGGGAAAAGGAAACTATTTATCAAATTGCTGATCATGAAAATGCATTTTGAGTGCTCCACTTTCAACATTGCATTTATTTTAAAGAACACTAATTAAAACTGTGTCCTTTCATTCTAATTTCTCCCACAGCCCCTCCATGGCACTTCACTGGCCCCTGTGAAAGGATCTAGGTTTTGTTGTAGCCTGGTGAGTGACCAGCTCCTAAGTCATGTGCTGGATTTAGCTGGAATGTAATCTTTTGGCCATCTGCTCAGGCACTCCCTGTGTCTGCATCCCTCTCGTTTGCAAGCAGGTGTTAAAGGTGATCTGAAATGTGCAGGTGTTCAGAACACTCCGGTTCCCTTTAACTGAATATGAGTGTGTGCCTGCGTGGGAGGGTTGAGCAGTGTGTTGTCCGAACTTGGCATGCTCAATTTTAATTCTCTCACTGGTGTATGGAGCACCTACTCAGAAAAAAAAATAATTACTGTTCAGGCCATTTGAAAAAATATGTGGATAGCAAGACTTTCTTCATAGAACTTGAGTTTAAAAATACTGATGTATGCTCTGTGGTTGTTTTTTTTTATCCTCCCACAATGATTCTGGACCTTTTTTTTTTATCATTTGTTTTGCTACCCTTGGCTTGTATTTTCCTTTGCTGGTCTTTAGGAGTCTGTCTGACTCTCTAACCCTTTGTAACTGATGGCTGCCAAGCATCTGGAATCTTGCTGCGGCTTTTTTTTTTTTTTTTTTTTTTTTTTTTTTTGTAAGTTGCATACAAGACTTCAACTTAATTTTTTTCTTGTAATGCCAAAATGCTGAGAAATGCTCAGAGCGGGGGAGGATGGGGGAAAAGATTCTCTTGGTCAATTTTTGTCTGCTTTCTAATAACTCCTTGCAATAACTGTGTCTCTGATATGCCCCAGTCTTTTTTGGTGATTAAATGAATCATCACATGCAATGAGAGCAGGTGCATCTCTGTCCGTCTGTGTCATGCACTGCTTGCATGTAGCAGTGTAAAGCGCTAGGTCTCACTTCCTTTCTAATTTTATATCATTGTCTTTCTCTCCCTGGTGTCCTGCTCATCCTGTGCAGTGGCATAGGAGGATCACATTCAGCAGAGTTCAGTGTTTGCCTCTGAATGGATGGACTTTCTGTGCTGCCCATTTTGCTGAGAGAAGCCTTTGAAACGGAACAGAATTTAACATTTCCAGATGGTTTAAAAACGTGGCTTCCTCAGAGACCAGAAGTGCTGTGGGATAAATGGGAGTGAGTCTTCAAATATCTGATCTAGACCATTAAGTTACTTTAAGGTTTTTTTAAGTGTTCTAGACCTTTAAGTTTTTACTGTGTGGCAACTCAGGAGCAACTGAATCTGTGAAACTTGTTGAGTGCCCTAGAAAAGCTTGGTTTCATTTTGTGCTGCAGATTTTATATTATAAAAATATAGTGTTACACATGGCTTAATTTCAAGGTGCTGTCATTCTGCATCTGAAGTAGCATTGGCTTTTCAGCCTTTGTTGCAAAATTGTGAGCAACTAACGCACCAGGCTTCTTAGCAGCTTCTTTTATTCTTTGAGTCTTTCCTTGAGCACTTGGCACAGAGGAGCTCTAACCAGACAAAAGGAGCAGGTGTGGGCACAAAACCAGCCTGTGGATTCTCCCTGGGCTGACAAACTGGCTGGGCCTTGTCAGAGCTGAGCAGCTCTTTCCAGCTCTTAACTCCCAGACCTTCAAGCTGTTAAATGGGAAACCCTGCAGTACCACCGCCAGTCCTGATCCTGAGATACTGTGGGAGCTGCACCTTTGCAATGCTTTTCATACACCCCTGGGAAGTGCTTTCCCATGGAGCTAACAAACATGTCCAAGTCACTTTTCATCTGAACTTTTTGGACATGCTATGCAGACTTGCAGTCAGAGCAAAAGAGTTACTGGTGAGGCGAGACTCCCAGGTTTGTGATCCAGCTCTTAGTTATAAGCCCTGTTTCCGCAGGTTTGCACTTTGTCTCGAGGCATGGTGTTCATTCCTGGGAGCTACTAAAGACTCCCATTTTTGTTATGTGGGTCTGTAGCAGCCTTGTGATCTCTGTTTAGCTTGGCTGCTGCCTGGGGATATTCCTGCTGCTGTGGGCCCTGGAGCAGCTCTTGCTGAAGCCCCACACAGGCAACCTCCTCAGCACACCGAGGCAGTGCAGGGTTTGCTGCTTTTCGTCAAATAAACCTCTGAATATTTAGAGGCTGAGACCACAACGTACAGGCAGCATCTGCCTCTGAGTTTGCATATTGCTTGCTGCAGTGGCAGTGTCTAATCTCTGTCTTTAGGAACCAGTCTATCTACGTTTTTTGATAAATAATACCAAATTTCCATAGGAGTTGCCTGTGCTTCCTTGCTAATAGTAGTAGGGCTTGTTACAAAAAGAGAGAGAGGCCAGCTGAAGCTTACTGCACATCCCCTGCCCTCTTTCTCCTTTTCTCCTTCCCTCAAGCTCATGCACTTGTTTCTTTGTCTCCTGTCTCTTGCAAAGGAGGGGAGAGGGGAGGTTCAGAGATAAGCTGCTACCTGCCCACTCCAAAGCAATAGTTCATGGAATGCTTGCTTTTGTGTGGCGTGCAAAGGCACTTAGAAAGAGAGTAGATTGTCCTGTGTGTTTCTCCATGGTTAAACAAACTGACTGATTTGGAGATTAAACTGAATCTGTATCTTCAGTCAGCAGGAACACTGGCCCACAGGGTTGTGTGTTTTGCTTGCACCACTAGGTTTAGCACCAGGAATGCTTCGGGCCCTGAACCTAGGAGAAAATGAAACAGGTTATTTTGGGCCGAATGGCTTGTGGGCCTTGTCAGTCCAGGCGGAAGGTACAGCTCTTTTAACTTCTGTTTGAGAGGCTTCTGGCTCATACTGTACCTGGTACAGCATTTTCCTTCATCTGCCTGGACTGTCAATGCTCACAGAGGAGAATTTCTCAGATAGCAAATGGGTTCTCCAGGATCACACTCCATTGCAGCTCTGCATATAATTTATGTAAGGGCATTTTATTTTATTTTGATTTTTTAATGTTCCTTTCTAGAACTTTCATCTTGAAAGTTGGACACTGTTAGCTGCTAGGAAGTATTGACAGCTCTGTTTTCTGGAGGAAACTTCACTACACCAGCTTTCAAATGTTTTTTTCTCTCTGTATATCTTGCTTCCGAGCTTGCTAAATATGTTTTCTTCTCAGTGTTAGTTTTCCACTGGGAAAACTAGCTGGAGCCTGGAGATGTCTTCTCTTAGTGCTTACACTTAGCAATTCTAGTGAGGATATGAGCTTGCAAAAGGGAAATGTAAACAAAATCTCCCCTGGGTAGACATGGACCTTCTCCATCTGGTGAGATAAGAGCCAATGCTGTTTTATGTTTTAACAATTCTATTTTTATATATAAGTGCTGTCTTGGAATTAAATTAACAGAGGAGAGCTTGTAAAAGTGACATTTGACTATAGACTGCTTTTTGTTTGGCTTAGTTAATTTAATTTACAGATGTCATAATATAGAGCTACTTATAAAGCTACTATTTAGGCTTGATTATTTTCAGTTTGTGGTTGAAAGTCTGCTGTGCACTGTTAGGAGAGTTTCTTTGTTTATAAAGAAATGTTTATTCCTCCTAGAGTGTCTGTAAGTAACTTTGTAAGTGAGGTGGTATGAAATTACACCTTGCTAAGCAGTAGTAACTTCTGGTTACAAAGGACTGATTTTGAAATTGCTTTTCATTAGCCATATCACATTACTTTCCAAACATTAAACCTATGATTATTTTTTTTTAAATGCATCACTTTAGAGAGTTGCCATGGGGTACAAAGAAGTTTTTGTCTCCAGATCTGTTAAACTGGATTTCCAGCTACCAGGTCTCTACTGGGGATGTTGTGCAATTAATGTGATGCACTGTGACACTTTAACTCAACTGTAGCAGAACAAAATCACTAACAGTCTCTTTTTTCTTATCTCTTTACAGTAAAAAAAGCTAAACTCCATGGACCACCAGGTAAGCCATGCTCTACTGCTTGTTTGCAGCAATGGGGACACCTCTCTCACTGCTGTTCATTCTGCTCCCTCAAATTTCATCCCCCCCCCTCCTCAGCTCCTCCGTGTTCTCCTTAGGAGTGACAAGATTTGTCTTGAGCATCCAGGCAGCTTGAGTCAGTAGAAAGCTTGAGGCTGTGATTTGGTGTCACAGTGCTGAAAACCTCTGCCTGCTCACTGACGTGAACAGGTGATGAATAAAGAAATGTGTTCCTTTACTGTCATCCTTTCCCACCCACCCTGCCCTTTCGCTCATCCTTCCTCTGTCCCTGTTCAAAACAGGATCTGAAAATGTCCACTGGGCAGGACTGCTGTGTTCCTGTGTGGATTCAGTGCCTTCTTGATCCCGACTGGGATTGCTGGATGGAATTGCAGAAGCAACTCATTCCCTTATGTGATAGTCCATGATAGTCATGCTTGAAATTAAGACCCCATCCCCTACGTTTTGCGTCTGCATAATAAAATAAAAACAAACAGCTGGTGACACCCAGAATTTACAGTCTAGGCAGCTTTTTTTCACTGTGGTTCAGCAGGTGGCAAGCAATCCCTTAGCAGGCAAATAGGTTTATTGAGTGAAATTTGGTGTACAGTTTACAAAAGAAGAAGTTTACTTCTGGAATAACACCTGTGCAGGTGTTTGGTTACGAAGCAATTGCACAGCTGTATTCATGACTTATTTGTTCAACTTTATTCTTTGGATATAGGTGTCCTCAGGTTACAGCAGAAAATTTTCCAGGACTCGTCGTCCATACTGCATGTCAGGTCAAGATCTGTGTGTGCACCAGCCTTAATTTTCTAGGGGAGGAAAGCTGAGTGCCCACATTGGAAGGAAGACAGTGTGTACTTTATCCTTTCTCTATTTAAGAAGCCTTCTCACAGATGCAAAATATTTGTCCTGTAGTCTAGGTTTAACTCATCAAAGCATGTGATTTTACTGACAAGGCCAGCGTCCCAGGAGGATGCAAGTGATGTAGACAGATACGAAGAATCCGACTTTCAGTGATTCTTACTTTTTCCTGAGATGTGGATCTTCTCTGGATCATATATCTCTCTTTCTTCCCCTTCTGTTAGTATACTGGAAGCTACATGCTGAAACATCATAGGTCATCAGATTTGTCAGGCATGAATTTCCTCTTTGTAAAGCTATGCTGGCTCTTCCCAATCACCTCTTTGTTTTCCATGTACAGTTTTGACAGTATTAAAATGGACTGTGATCTAACTTACGCTGAGAATAGATGCAGCAGAACACTGAAGTATTAAAATACATACACTGCCTCCTGGGTACTTAGCATGTCTTGTTCTAGGCTCTTTGAAACTGATAGATAGGTCTGAGGTAATAACTTCCCTTAAAAGCAAGTTTTATCATTCTCAGATGCTGATATTCAAACTCTGAATATGTCTATCCTTGGCTGCTTTTGGTTTTATTAGCATGGAAAGAGCAGGAATTAGGGAAAAAGTTCTTTCAGGATTTTTCTTTGTGGACTCCTGGGTGGAAAACCAGGTGAGAACTAGGAGAGCACTTGGGTCAAAAGGGAAGACACGATACGTTCAACCCAACTGCTTGCTTGCATGTCTTGCAAGTTTGTTTTTCAGTCTCCTTGGTCTGCATGATGGTCCCTGTTCCTTCAGCCCATCTCTTTAGGATTTTACATTCTTTTTCCCTGTCTTACTGCAAGTAATTAGTTGGCTGGTTTTGTTTGTTTGTATTTGAGTTTCTAAAAAGGCTGTCATTGAAAATTTGATGGCAGGTGAAAAACATCTTGAACATTTGGCTCCTCAAACCCCGCGCCGTCTTCCCGTACGGGCTTTTCACTTGGGGCTCTCTGGATGCACCGTGTGAGCTGAAAACCTTGTGCTGTTGCACGTATGTGTTGAAGGGGTCTGCTGATGGAGATAACTTGTTGTGTCTCATTCCCCAGATAAATTCAATACGTATGTGACACTGAAGGTGCAAAATGTGAAGAGCACGACGGTGGCCGTGCGCGGTGACCAACCCTGCTGGGAACAGGACTTTATGTTGTAAGTATGGGGGTGCACAGCTTGAGGAGCTCGTGGTCGAGTCCCTCCGCAGCCCCTACACTCTCACAGAGCTGCTGTTGCGTGTATGGGTTGGAGTATTTGGGTGGGTAAAATGCACAAGTCCGGACATTGTCTCTACCAGTGCCACAGACTGGCAATTGCCAGTCAGGTCTATAGGGAGGAGGTAACTTTGAGACTGAGCTGGGAAGTTGGTCTGTGGGTTCATCTGGATGGATGTTGTCCTTGGCCGGCTATGTGCATGGCTGTGGCTATGAGCAAGAGACACGCGCAACTGTAACATAATTTAGACACAGGCTAAAGGCCCATAGCTGAGCTTAAATGGAGCTCCTGGACCATGGGAACAGGGGAGGCCACTGGAGAGGCTGGTCAGGGCAATTAAGGGCTGTTGTTAATGCACTCAGGACCTCCACGTGGTGATCCTGGTTACCTTAGTGTGGGAGCTGCGTGTGTGTTGATGTGTTCTGCCATTGACCCAGTGTCCATGAATGTGTTTTCCAGCTCCTCTGGTTCCGCTTGAGGGGCTTCCAGTCCCTGCCATGAGCAGCAGAACCAGTTCATTCCAGCTTTTCCAAGGCTTCTGGTGCACTTGGCACTTCTGATTTGCTCTGGTCTGACATGTAGCCAAGGATTTCCCAGTATGTTTTAGTATCGTGGTTTTCTTTTTTCTAGTAAATGAATGACTTATTGATTATATTGTATCTGCTATAGCTTTGTAAGACAAAGCAAATTAAATGGGCAGGAGTGATGTTGTATTCATCTTGAGAGTCAAAGGTAGTGCTGCTGGTTTTGAGTGGGTTTGAGGTGTTTATGTAGTGGATTTTGTGAGCTCGTTTCCCAATCCAGCAGCAGCTGGTTCTCCTCAGTTGAAAGTGGGAAGTTATTGCCTCTGGTTAAGGAGTTCACCTGGGTTAGTGCAGCGTTGGCATCATAGCTGTGCTTTTATCTCCCCTTTTTTGGTGCCAGTCTGCTCCTGCAGACAGTCAGTCCTTCGGCATCTGATGAAATAAATACATTTGCTCCTGAACACCACCGTCTGCTCAGCTCTGCAATTCCTGGTCAGACAGAGTCTGTGGCTTCACTGGTGTAAACCATGGAGGACTGGGTAAAGCTGGGACAGGGGACACTAACTATCTGCCAAATCACATGCCTATACCCAAACTACTAACTCATTCTACCTGAGATTTGTGCTCATCCTGTGGACAGGAACAAGCTCTAAACATGGCCAACTGCAGAGGAGACTGCTCAGAGGTGGTTTAAGAAAAGCACTTGAGTGTGTGCGATGAAGGCTCTCAGGGTTGCTCTTCCTCCCTCCCCTCAAGGAGCTCCTGGAACTGCACTCCAGTATCAGCTGGGAGCTGAGCTATCATGCTGTAAGGTCATTCTAATGCTCCATAATTAGTTGCTAGGGAATATGAAAGCAGAATATTAGCTGAACTACCTTGCCATTATCACCCCTGCTTTAGCCAGGCAACTGCACAGTAGTTCTGGTGTTTCTCTATGACAGAAATATTACGTGTGGCAACGAACGTGTTTTGCATGATCCTGTGTGCGTTAAGTTGTCCCAGGAGGAATAACACTGGTATTCCAATACTACTGTTCTCTAGTTTGCCCTTTTTCTTTCTGGAGTTGGAAAAGGATTTTGGACGTGGTAGTTTTTCTCTGAGGGAGCGATGCTTTTACTGTCTGTATTTGTGTTTACCTTTTTTATGAGGCATACTAGAAAAGTAGACTACAAGGAAGAAAATGTTCTTTTTCTGTTTGTTGTTTTTGCTTCCAAACTCCTTGTGAGATATAGCACTTCAGAATTTGGGGCTCTGGGGTTGTTTGAGATTTGATTATTTACCAGACCAGGAAAACATTTTAATGTATTCTTTGGGGACATCTTTTAATTTTAAAGCAGCTTTAAAAAGAACTGCATGTTTGCAGCAAGGACCTCTTGAATGAAACTGCAAACTGACGTTTAGAACATGATGATTAATTTGGTGTTAAAGAAATGTATTTTATCTAAATTCTATGAGTGTGTGGAAAGGGAAGGACACCAAATTCCACTCTCAGATCTTTTGTTCTCTGAGGCTATTCTGCATCTAACCAGAAGGTGGAGAAAGGGAGACACAAAGGCAATCAAAGCCACAGTACAGAAAATATTTTTATTTATTATTCTTAGCTAGTGACCTATCCTGTGGAGTTCTGTACAGAAGTCCACTGGGTGTCACAATGATAGAGCAAGGCATTGATCATGAATGTTGAAACAAAGAACGTGGTTTTACACTGTGACTGAAAATAGAATATTTCTTCCTTTCCTTCCCTTTCTGCCCTCACACTAGTCCAGCCTGCAGACACCCAGTCATCATCAGCCTGCAGTCAGATAAATGTCACCTTCCAAGGTGAGGGCAGAGCAGTGCTGGTACAGGGGTTAGTTTGGTCACATTTGTGAAACCCTGTCTAAACAGAGGATGCTGGAATTACAAGATGCTAGCAATAAAGTCATAATAAGCCTATGTAATAGCTTGATTTTGAACTTCTGTAGACTGAGCCACCCAAGCACTGGACACTGCTGACCTCAATTCCTGTGTCTCAAACACGAACAGAAGCACTTGGATTTAAAATAGATATTAATGTGCTTTGCTGTAGCTGTAGGGTTTGTCTTGAGCCTTGTAGATACTGTGTTCCCTTTTAAAGTTGTAAGAAGGGGACAGAGCTGAAATAGACGCTGGAATTTGCAGTGGTTCTTTCTTTTTTTGGCCATGATGGCAGCCTATAGAAATTAGGGACTAACATGCCTTTAAAACTTCCTTGATAGATGTAAAATGGATACATTTGGAGAGAAGGACAAAAGGCAGCAGCACTGACTGTCCAAAATATCTACTTTTGGGGATTAACAGCTGCAGTAAAGAGAAGCCCTGAGCTCAAAAAATTAGGAGCAGTAGGCTTTCTTCCTGATAAGTGCGAGACAGTTGTGTATCAACAGACAGTTCAGGATTCTTCTCTACTTCATTGTTTTTACCAGCTAGGCTGTTCTGAAGTAGGCACGCTATAAACCAGCATGGAAGAGAGAGGTATAAATGCTATGAAGCATTGACAAGAAGCAAATTTTGAGATTCATTCTTTCCTTACTGAGAGGGAAGAGGGTCATGGAAACCTTCAGATAACTTTTACCATGAACTTGGCACTCGGTGGCCATGTGGAAGTAGCTAATGCTGGAGCAGAAGTGGTGCCACACAGCCCTGAGCAATAGGTAGTGCTGCTGGTGCAGCTGTGTATTTGGGACTGTTACTTTGGATGTGGGGTAGCTCCACTGACAGGTAAGTATTGGCATGTTTGCACCTGGCAGAGTACACTTGTGTTGCTGTGCTGCCAAGGGAGACACCCACTTTGTTAGAAATGGAGTGCCTGATGACAAAGAACAGCTCACCCCTAGGTTTTGGCCCAAGGTACACTTCCTCCTCCTGTGTACATAGCTGCAGGGATGAGTTCCCAGCTGGCAGTTGATGCATGTCATAGTTCTGGGTTTTACTCTGCAGTCTTTGTGTAGTTATTAGAAACTAGTGACCTTTGTGAGTTTGAGCTGCCTCAGTCACAGACTTCTAGAATCTCTCTGTAACTTGACACAGCTGTGTAAAAAGAGTTCACTGGTATAATCACGTTGGTAATGTGGAACCTAAAACAGAATTGGATGGTATTCTCTTTTTTTCTCACCTGTGATGCCTCTTCTTTTCTTGCAGTGAGATCAGCCGACTAGACCTGGGACTAATTGTTGAAGTATGGAACAAAGGACTGATCTGGGATACCCTGGTTGGGACCGTTTGGATTGCTCTGAAGGCCATTCACCAATCTGATGAGGTTAAGCTCACACAGAACCTTTATTTGCTCCAGTGTTAATAGATAATGTGTTACAAGTCTGGCCTGGTGCAGCCCAGGCTGAGCTCCTCAGCAAAACTTCCATTTGAAAAGTCAGGAAGGTTGGGTGAGCAGAGAAGGCTCTCTTATTTTATTGGTTTTGTTTTTGAAGCGAGACCAAAATCAAACTTATACAATAAGTCTTTGATCTCATTTTAGTCACGTGGGCACAAAAACCAGGGCTTAATTTGTTAAGGAACACATAAGTGACAAGTGTCTAAAGTCTTAAGGACTGACTGCTTAGTTTGATGCTCAGATTTCTGTGACTAACTGCTAAAGACTGTCTTAGTCCAGCTGACAGGGTAGGCTCTGCATCATCTTCTTAGGGCTTCTGATTGCAATGTTAGAGGGTGTCTACTGGTGCTGATACATATGGAAAAAACTAGGAAGAAGGATGTGCCAATGTCTGTAATGCCCTAACTACTGAATTTGGCAGTTGTTGCAGCTAAGCACGACATATTTGTTTTTTTAACTCAAATTTCAGAGTATTTAATTAGAAGACTATTGCATTTGAGCAGGGAGAGAGTATATTTTCCGTGAAGGGAAAAGACTGGGGACACTCAGCAGTGTGGCTTAAGATCTGGCTGTCCAAGCATTCCTTGGTCCTGTCTTGGAGGTCTTATCTTTGTAATTCCACTTAGAAGGCAGCAGTTTTGCTAGGAGATGTTTGCTGCTTGTCCTGGTAAAGGCCTCTGAGATTTGGAGGAAGTCCAGTTTGGAAGAAGAAAGCCAGCACATGCTGAATGGATGTAATTTGATGTTAAACAAAGGAACAGGCCTTGATAATGCTGTAAAGATCTTCCTGGAGTCTTTTGGCAAATGTGTGAGAATTGCTGCATAAAGTTCTTCAGACTTGAAAGTTCATTCACATGTGGCTCGTGATCCACAGGAAGGTCCTGGGGAATGGTCTACGCTGGAGGCAGAAGTTGTAATGAAACATGATGAGATCTGTGGAACCAAAAACCCAACTCCTCATAAAATTTTGCTGGACACAAGATTTGAATTACCTTTTGGTGAGTGCTTTTCCATAACTTACCCAGAGTGCTGACAGTGGAGAGAAAGTGCGAGGAGACTGAGTTTTCTCAAGTTGTGTTCACTTTCAGTTCAGTCAGTATAGTTCAGTGGAGATAAATTGCTGGTATTCATTTTTTTGGGGGCTTCTTTCTAACAAGATCCAAATAAACGTGGAATATTGGAAAGTCCCTGGGTACTGGAATGTTTAGACTAGTAGCAGGTTTTTCTTCTAACAGTATTTCAGTATTGTGTAGTCACGCATTTTGTTCCTGAGCAGGGAGCATTTGCTTTTTTGTATCTAAATTTGGCATTGTTAGGGCTGTTCTGTGGTAGGTGCACATAAGACCTCTTAGAAGCGTGCAGTTCAGTTAGTCAAACATTAATGCTTAGTGCTCCTGAACATTATCATTAGCAGAGTATATAAATAACTTGATGTTGTAAGAAGTGCCTTTCTGGCAATTACTTGTGGTTGAAAAATGCAGAATATGGAAAAGTAGCTAATTGGAGCAAACAGATCTCAAGTCAAGTTGTGTATAATTTTAAAATTTTATTTTGCTTAAAAACAAGCAAACAAAATAACCAAATAAACCCCAGAAGTAAGGCCTTAGCCAAAATGCATCCCAGGTTTACAAAGCTTCTCTTTCCAGCTCTTAGCTGATAAGAATACAGATGATGTTTTTAGGGCTTGTGCTATTGTGTTTTTTTCATGCACTGGATGTTGAAGTGTTTCATAGTTGTCTGTCATTGCAAGGATCATTTCTCTCTCTCTGCCTGTTGCTTCTTTTTATCTGCCAAGCCCCCTGGCAGTGTGGGCAATTTGTACCGTGCTTTGAGCAGGGGTGGAACGTTTGTGCACCTGCTGGCATTTGGCCAGCACCTGTCAGGGTTGGCCATCTGTTGCGGGAAGGAGTGAGGACATCTTTGAGTCTCATACCCCCCTTCCTGGTGCAGGGGAGGATGCAGGCCTTGGCCCTGCAGCACAACAGTCGTTGCAAGTTGTATCTGGTGCTCTGAGTGTACTGTTCTGAGTGCACAGTCCTCTGGATGATTGTGCTTCAGTGTTCTATCGATGTAATGGCACTGCTCTTTTAACTGCAGCCCAGTGTGTAAAGGGGTAAAGGTATTTGACACCTCTCACCCTGTCAGCGGGAGTTTTATTACTGAAATTGCTTGTTATATAAGAGGAGGAACAACATACTTCGTTTCACCTCACATGGAAATCTTGATTGTTTGGGGCAAGGGTTGAGGTTTCTGGGAGGGGCAGAACACAGCATAGAACACAGCTGAAGGCAAGGCTTGTAGCCACTGCCTTCTCATCTAAGTTCATTGTGACACAGTTGCTTTTAATCTGTCACTGCTTTAAAAGAAAATTAAGTTCTGATGTCTCCCTTTGTATTCAGAGAGAGTCCAAAAGTGAATTTGCTTTCTTCTGCAAATGTTTTGAACAGCATTACATTTTTTTTTCAAGTATAAAACACCAGACTCCCTGTAAATCGTAATGTATTAGAGCATCTGGATTTAAAAAACAAAACTATTTCAGGCAATAGTGTATTTCCCCATATTACTATACTCACAGGAGTTTTTGTTTGTTTCTTTTGTTTTGGTTTGGGTTTTTTTTACTACTAGTTTAAATTTTTACATTTGGAGAAGTAGGATTTTTTTCAGAGCAGTAAGTAGATAACAAGATTTTTTTGTGATTCTTATGTTTTTAAAAAACAAAAGTTTGATCATTTAAAGTACTTATTTCTTTGCTTACTGCCAAATACTGAAATAACAGGTAGTCCACGCTACTGTGTTGAAGGGGTTTTATTTTAGAGTGTGAAAAGTTGTCTGCCTGTCCAGTATTTCATAATGTCCAGGAAAAAATGAGTGGATAAGTTAGGTCTTTCAAGGCTTCTGATTCTCTTCCCTTGAAGAGTGCTACAGTTTTTGCTTCTGTCCCCATTTTCAGTGTGTCCTACCATGGCAAGGTCAGAGGCAGGCTGAAAAGCAGCAGGCACTAAGGAAGTGTGATATTTCTCTGGAAGGGAGTGTCACCTTCTCCAGCAGTGCTTCCCTTAACACCATGACTGAACGTCTCGTGCCATCACCTCTAGAATGGAGAAGGAACCAGCAAGATGGATTAGGGTCTGTCTCCTTGCCCCAAGTACTGTGGACCTCGGAGAGATGCAGGGAGGCAGCTCAGCTCACAGCACTGCCTCTGCATCTCTCCCGATGGATGTGCTCGCTGGCTTCCCTTTAGCTGGATGGCAGCAGTATGGGCTCTCAGAGCCCTGCATGTTAAAACTCTTTGAAATGAGCTGGGAACTGCCGCTTTAAACCTACACAGGGAACTAAATGTATCACTGGTCTGCCTGTGGAACTTCTTAAGTCATCAGCGGTGCAGTAGAGGCAAAATTTTAATAACAGCAGGTTTGGAGTGACACTTAGGAACATTGTGTATCATGTTTTGTTTCCCAGGTGAAGATCTCTTGGCTATTGTAGATACATGAGAAGCAGAGCGATACGTGTGCACATGTACAGCTTGTGCTGCTTTTCAAGTTGGGTAAAACACTGCTGTCTGGGATCGCAGCTTTCAAAAACTGTGTGTTCCGTTTGGCTGTGCTTCTGTGCTTTTTCTATCACTTCTGGCTGCTCTCTTTCATATAGGTGTATAGAGATGCAGTACTCCTGGTTATTCCGTGTATTTAAGATGTTTCATTTTACTTAGGTGCAGCTTGAGAAGTTTTTTAGGGTTTGTAAAAGAGAATAAATTGATTTGAAAAACAGAAGAGCTGAAGTTCATGGTGTAAAATATGACTGTGTATGCAATGAGGTTTAGAAAATGGTTTGTTTTTCTGCATCCACATGATATATTCAAGAGTCTGCCTTCCTAGTATCTCTGCTCCTGGTACTCTGGAGCCTGGCAACAGCTAAAGCTGAAATAAATGTAGAACATGCTGATGCTGGTAGTGGTAGTACGTGATGAAGGCAACTTAGATCTTTTTTTTTTGATTTTGTTTTTTTTTCCTATAAAGTTGTTAAGTATTTACCAGGCTTGGAGTTGGAAAGCAACCATCTCCTGACAAAGGCTAATGAGAGTTTAGTCGCTGCTCATGGTGATTTCAGATAAGCTTTTTTGAGGTCATACAGGAGCTAAACTTCATTAACGCCCAGATTTCTAATGGCACAAAGACCTGCTGTGGTGACCTTGATGTATCCCCCGTGTGTCCCATTGCACATTCCAGATGCAGCTCTTGCCTTGTTGTCAGTAGTGTCGTTAATGTGACATCAGCACAGGGCGTACAGGAGAGAGCGGACCTGTGGACCCTTCTGTGTAATGGACTGCAGTGCTGGGGGTCAGACTGTCCTCTAATGATCTCTGCCAGCCCCAGATGCTTGAGTGTTCAGTCTCACAGAAACAGAACGAATGAAAATCCTCTTCTACAAAAGTGCAGCAAAGGGTGAGCATGGGAAATGTGAAGCATGAGAGTTGATATTAACCCATACGGTTCAAAGCATTTTTATGTTTGGTAGTCTATTAAAAAAGACAGTAAACTGCCTTCTTCATGGGATTGTGAGCAAAGACAGGCTGGAGCAGGTTTCTCCACTGATCATATCTGTTTCTTCTCAGGAATAAGACAGACATATCAGGGTGGGGAGAAAACCTTTTGTGATTGGTTTAGAAAATTTGCTGGTAAAGAGAAGACGGTCTTGCTATTATTGTTTTGATGCAGCGAGTGTGTGCTAGCATAGACTTTTCAGGATACTGCTTTTCAAGTGTAAAATTGTTCTGTTTAGAAGCAATTTTACTCTGTCCCCCTTTTTTTAGAAGTGCAATGACTATGTGCAAATCCCTCACAGGATGCAGCACTCAAAAATGCTTTTGGCTCCCAAACTATAGCAGTTTGGTTCTGTGCCAGGCAGTTTCTAGTCCATAATTGGAGTGAAGATGCTTTTAGTGTTCTCATTACTCCCAGGCTGGGAGCATGCTGATCTGCATCCAGCCATCAGGTGGAGTAAATGTGCTTTGCTGTTTTGTTGTCTTAGGAACTGAACAGAAAAAAACACTCAGCTTGCCAAAGTCATTTCAGTGAGAACCTGCAAAGATTCCTATATGTTGGAAAAGGGGAGAAATTGGGGTTGGGAAGAGGGGAAGCCAGGTGAAGGCTTGTAGGAAAGTGGGGAGAGACAGGTGATCACTTTTACTTTCAGCAGTTGTTCTTATGCTGAGCTGGGGTATGCCCCAGCTCAGGACTTGCTACCTGGGAAAAACCCAGGAGGCTCGAGGTGATATGCAAGAATTAGAGCAAGGACCATTAAACCTGAGGAGAAGAAAAGCTTTAGGGCTGAAATGCCTGTTTATTGCCAAGCTGGAGATCTCTAAGCAGGAATACTGTCATGTTTAGGACCTCAGGGGGTATAACTGATTGGAGTGGTCTGTAAAGATGCACCAAATTCTTCTCTGTTTCCTTCCTCAGTCTGATAAGTGACTGTACTGCTGTGTCCCCATTTCTGTGTCTTGTCTGTATCCAGGTGTCAGGGCCATGGGTACATACACTGATATGTCCTATTTGCTCTGAGCAGCCTCACCTGGGACCTCCACCCACACCTCTGCTTGTGTGCCCAGGAATCCCACTTCAGCTCAGCTCTGAGCCTTCAATCCTGAGTGATGCTGTGGGAGTTACCTCCCAGCCAGTGCCATGTCTGTGTCTGTTTAGGGACCCCATTGATTCAGGCCCATATGTGGACTTGCCCTCAGACCTGCCTTGTCACCACGGACCTGGCTGCCAGTCTGGGCTCCTCATTGAACCTTGCCATGATCTCTGGGCCTGCTCTGCTCACCTTGCTCAGGTGCTGTAAGGACAGGACCCTAACTGGCAAGTCCCCTGCCCTGCCAGCCAGGGGATCCCCCCCTCCCTTGGGGAGCAACCGAATTTCACTGCTCCCTAACACCAGGAGCCCAGAGAAAACAAGGGGTTCAGCTTCCAGCTGAGGATGGCAGTAGGAGCAAGGGCAGTAAAGCTTGCAACATTTCTGTGTTGGCATCAAATCAATAAGCCCAAAAGCTGTTGGACATACCTGCCCATCTCCTCTCTGTTCTTACTCAGCAGTTTAGTTCCACTGACATGTGGCCTTGCTCCTTTTGTTCACCAAGCGTGATGTTGGTGGAGTCCAGAGCTGGCATCAGGTGTCCTCTTTTTGGACTAGTTCCACATTTGTGTCTTGTAAGCAAAAGTTAGCGTAGCAGAGTAATTTCCATTGTAATCGAAGTTGAGCAGTGATGTAGGAGCTGGCCAATGGATGTGGCCTGGTGAGTGGTCGGTGATCTCCGCACTAGGGATTTCTTTTCTCTGCCTTCCAAAGAATGAGCTTCAACAAAACTGCTGGCTGAGGTGAGACACGACAGAATTGTGAAAGTAAAAAATAAACTGCTTCCTCAAAACATCAAGAATTCTCTGTCATTGGGATCTCTTCATCTGGGCAGGTTACTTGACTCAAGGTTGTAGGCCAGTTGCTTCATGTTTAACGTTTGCTGTGCAGTAATTGTACTGGCATTAGCATTGATGACAGGAGTTTCTCTAAGATCAAGACGATGTCCTTGAAGCAGCTAGTGTCTGGACAGTAGCAGATTTTTATCTCTGACTTGCATAAGAATCTGTTTCAATAGAAGCAGCAACCCTGCAGTAAAAATCTGATAGCTCTGCTTATGAAATGGGCATTTGGGATACAAGATAGGCTCTGACCTTTAGTCCTCAATTCATGAATTTTTCTTCATGTCTTAGAGAACTGTTGGCTTTCAAAGACAGTTCCACAGGCTTTGCTGTAATTTTTTGATTGTTTCAGGTCCTTGTTGGAGTTCGTCTTCCTAAATCTCATCAAATTGTGTGCTGATAGTCATTGATGTCTTCTTTATGGTCAGTTCTATCCAGATTTGCCCAAATGCCAACCCTGATTTCTGCAGAGCTTGTCTAATAAATCTGTGATCTACAGCTGCTGATCTACAGCCCTGATGATCAAAAACATGTATGTTTTCCTACAACTCTTGCAGTTCTCGAAGGCTCTCTCGTGTTTCTCTTACCTTGTTTTCTGTTAGGACTTAACAACAAAGTAATGTTCTGTACACCAGGAAGAGCAACTTGCTTTTGTGTTATGGTTAGGGTAAATTACTTTGGTCTCCCTCCAAACAAGGAGAAATAGGTTATCTTTTTTCCTGCTTGATGCAGTTTTTTTGGAAGCAGGGATTAAGATTCCAAAAAACTTTGTCAAGTGGGGACTATTTTATCCCCTTGTCTGGGTGGGGCTAGTTGCATAAAAATACAGTGATGTTTCCCTTACAGAGGTGTAGACTTGAATTTGTAGTTCAAGGAAATGCCTACTTCTGAAACTTAAAATTCCACTAAGTCTGGCACGTTCCTGTTGATAGTGGTTCATGTTCTAATACACTGGCCACTATTATCTCCAATGTTTTGGGCCCACTGCCTTCATAAGATGTGTTTGTGTGGCTGAGAGAGGACACATGTAGGACAGATATCCCCTCAAAGTACAAGAAGAAAACAATATTTGGTCCTTCCTGAAAGCATAGTTCCAATGGAATGCTCACCTGCCAATAGATCCTGTTCTTTTTTCTCTCAGGAGTGAGAGTGGATGTAACTTTCAGAATCACCTTTTCATCAGAAGTCCATCCCAAGCCTGCTTCTCCCTTGATTGCCAATGCATAGCTGAACACACCGACGTGGTGGTGGTCATGGGGTGCAGTTCTTGTCAGGAATACAAACTTCTTAGACATAAACTTGGCTCCTTTTGAGGCCAGCTGAGAGTTTAAAGGGTTACAGGGGATGGGAAAACCAGCTGAACTGGTATAGCACTATCTTGTTGTTGGCTTGCACGGCTGGCGGTGTCTCACTGGAGCACTCCCTCCACTTCCTTCCTCTGTGAGCTGTGAAGTTTCTGCACTGGGGTGGCTTCAGTCAGATTTCAGATGTTGTTCCAGTCAGGGATGTTGAGTGGCTTAAAAAAACCTCCAAAAACAAACCCATAACCTTTTTTTCCTTTTCCAGTGATTTCACATCACCCCATCCCTAAATAATTTTCTGTTAAGCTTTTCACAGCAGTTCATCGGCATCTCCCAGGGTGCACTCTAAAAGGTGAAATTTTGAGTGGCAGAAGTCTGTGTTCCATTAGGACACTGTATTACGTCAAAGTGTGAAATAGAAAATAGAAATAGTTACCAAAATAAAGGTGATAATGCTTTTGCTACTTGCTGCCAGTCATCCACTTGGTAAATCTTCCAGAAGGTAAAAGTGTTGTTGTGATTCATTTCACAATGAAGTTGCAGTGTGGTGTAGAAGTAGGAATGTGCTTTCAAGTGAATATGACTGCCTATGTAACACTGTTTTTTACCTCAAAAGATTTGACTTATTGCCTGCAAAGGAATAAAAGAGACCATTTAGTTTTTGTGTTTTAATTTGTGCTACACCAGGTATGTAGGTAAGATATGCTATTCAAAGGGAGCCCTTGTTCTGTTGAGGTTATAAAAGCCTCCAGAAGAGGCTCTTTTTATGTGTTATCAGGCATATAGCAAGTGTATTAAAATATCATTGCATAATGGCTCTCCATGAAACTAATACTCGAATTAAATGTGAGCCAGTCTGTCTTTCTCTCTCCTACCTTTGTGCAGTGTGCATTTGGTTAATCAGCTTTAAACATGAAAGCAATGTAAGCCCTTGAACTGTGTTACTATTTACAATGTTTGTTTTTTCATCTAAGTGCTAACCTAAGACAGTTTTATTTCTTCAAAATCACATGGGTTTTTTTGTGGTGTGATCTTGGGCTACTCTCCCTGTTTTAATGGTAATGGTGATAAATGCAAACTTGCCTCATTAATAAGGTGGTGTGATTTACTCTTTTGGTATAGATATTCCTGAGGAAGAGGCCAGGTATTGGACCAGAAAATTGGAACAAATAAATTCACTGGGAGATGATGAGGTAAATATCTAAACTGAAATGTTAATGTAGCCCTGAATGCCATATAACATGCTTTTATTCTTTGTATTGGATCCCTGTGATTGTTTGCAAAGTAAAATTTAACATGTTAATGCCTGTACCATAAATGTATCATTTTAAAAAACCCATACACACGTGCTGATGTGAACATCATTGAGTAAGAAGATGGTGCTTGCTTAAACCCTTTGATAGGTCTCTTTCTGTACCAAGATAATTTACAGAATATTCTACCAATACAGGGACTTCAGGAGATTTTTCTTCTGGATCCTTCATCTGTTCTTTTCTGCTCCTTGTGTGAGTCATTTGTTTTACTGCGCAGATGAAGGAAAATAAGGTGGATTTTCTTTTTAACTGAGGACAGACCAATTTTTCAGTGGATAAAAATGTTTGGGGCAATCTCCTGCCTTCGTAGAGGCTTTAGAACCTCTGGAAGTCGATGAAAAAGCTCAGTCTGTGATTTGTCCTTTCAGTGATCCTGCTGTGGTGCCCCCCTGCTCCCGTGGGCTGTAGGAGCAGTCCATGCCAGGTACTTCAGCGAAGCAAAGGTGCCCTCTAGTGCTTCACTGAGCTGGCACTTACTGAGAGATACCCTAAGACTTCCCTTTCCCTGCCATACCATTCATCTGCATACTTTTGTCAAATACCAGTAGAAAAATAATGTCTCTGGTTTTTTGAGACCTAATGGTCTCAAATTTATTGTGGCTGTTGTGTGACACCAGTGAGAAAATGAAAAAATGTAAGGACACCTTTGCAGTGTCTGACCTAAGGTTCTTGTCCCATGTCTGTCTGCCACCCAGAATGCAGATGAGATCTTTATTGCATATTCCCCTGATTGGCAGTGACTTGTAGCGCAGGAACTTCCAGAGCCAGAGGCAATATTCTTGTATTTAACAGCACTCAATTGATATTTCTTTTGTGGATGGCAGTTGCCTTTTCAATGCACCCAGGTCAGTTGTGTTGTAGCAAAGGAATTCAGCACCTTAATTGTGCATTGCCTGAAGAAACACCTTACTTGCTCTGGGCAAATGAACCCAATGTTGTGAAACCAGCCGGTGGCAGGTTTGTTTGGACAAATTAAATGACTGATCCTCATACATCCACTCTGTGCCACTCATCTTTACAGACCCCATCTCTTGGACTGCAGAATCTTAGTCTGCACAGTGGTATTTATGGTGCAGAGCAACTTTGTGCCTTTATCCCTTCCGTATGTTAAGTTCAGCTATCTCTGAGACAATGAGTGAGCAGACTGAAGTTGCACAGCAGTATTCAATAATCAGGTTCATTTGGAGTTCATGTGGTGTGATAAAAATGCTTTCCAGCCTCTCTTCCTACAAACAATACTCAGTTTTCATTTTGGGACTGCTGATAGCTGTTGGGCTGATGCCTTAAAAAGAACAAACTGCTGCCATTTTGGGATCTCTGAGTATAATAATTCAGAACCCGTTGGTGTCCTGTGCTTCTGAAATTGCTCATCAACAGACTTCCTTTCACTGCTTTGTCAACCAGTCAGTGCTGTCAGATCCGGCAGTTCTTGTTTTCACAATCCTGATTAACTCAGTGGGTTGGCAGTTTGCTGATGACAAGACTAACCACCTTTCAGAATCCCTTGTGCATTTTAAATAGCACAGATTGGAAGATAACCACGGCGGAAGCCTGCGGGTTGTCACCTTCCCTGTAAAGAACTGGCCATTAATCCTTACCAAATCCAAGGAGAGACTGTCTGGTGGCCCTGTTTTGCACATACTGCAGCATCAGCTTGCTACGTTTGGCTCCTTGCTACGTCAGGCCGTTTTTTCCCAGCAAAGGCTGCTCTCATTATTTCGGTCAATTGTCCTAATTTTCTTGTATCTCTATGTAATACAAGATAGAATAACAAAATAAAATCACTGGCATTCCCCTTGGGAATGCTTTGATGCTGTAACAAACAGCTTTGTAAAAAGTCAAAGCTGGCTAATTGAAATACCTCTGTTTTCTCTAATTTAGTATTAAATGAGATGAAAAATTCTTCACTTTGGATGCAAAGTGGATCACAAGAGAGTTTGCAAGTGTTGGCTGGGCAAACATTGTGTTCCTACCCTGCCAGGCACACTAATTATGTAACTGCTTCCATCTCCTGCTGCAGAGTTGCTGTGAGCCCACTTGGGTTTTGAGCTGTTGAAGCTGTGCTGGCGTGTCTAAATGTAAACAGGTTTACACTCAATTCTGAGCTCCCTGTCACACCAACATCGAGGTGTGGAGAATCAGGTCTTTTAGGTGTCTAATTTGAGGCCTCACAATTGATAGCAGGGGCCTATGCTTGTAGTAAAGCATATTTCACCCTAATAAGATGTGCACTTTGTAACATGCGATTTTAGCATGAAAAAAAAAGACACTTCTGGGAGTGTGTTTATATTACAGAGAATATATATAGATATCCTTATAGATATTATGCTTTGATGCTACCAGGTATATTTTATGTGTGACATGCTGTACTCTGAAAGCTGTTTCACAGAATTATCATTTGCTTTTTTATGCATCTGTGTTTTTTCCTTTTTTTTTTTTTTTTTCCTCTTTTAGTATTCCTTTCAGGAGGAAGTCCAGAAGAAACCATTGCCCAATGCTGCCTCCCAGTGTTGTAAGTTACACTTTATTTCTTCTTAATATTTTTTCCTCTTTCAGTGTACTTAATTTTTCCTTCTGTGCTTAGTTATCAAGTGATGATACATCAGAACAATAAGTACTTAAATCTCTGTGCAGCCAGTAACTTTTGTCAGTTATGAAAAGCTGTGCTCCTCAAAACACTGGTCTAAAGCTTCTGATGCAAGGAAGTGAAGTCAGGCATTGAGTCTTTGACATGCTGGAGTCCTCATGTGCAAAAGGAACAGAAAACGTGTTCAAAGTCACCTGGATTGTCAGAGGCTCATAATATTGATGCCTGTAAGAAAATGCTGAGTTTTTTTCCTGTGCCTAAGTCAGGCTCTTTAAATGTGTTATCTTTAAAAGTCCTGTGTTAAATATTATTTTTATTACTGTTTAATGAGATTTGAAGAGGCAGAAAGTAGATGGAGACAAGTACTACTGGTAGCCTTTTAACATGCACCAGAGGTTTGTGTACTTGATGTCTAATTTGTTTAACATTACTTTTCAATGCTGTGTTGATGGATGGAAAAAATGCTTTTACTAATTTCTGCTTATCTCGTCTTGCATTTTTTTATGCTTCTGAAAACGTGGATGGAAAAATAACCTAGGAAATACTGTATCTGATGGTCTGCAAAATTAGATTTCTGAAACACTGCTTTTAACGTGCAATAGATGAAAGCTCAGTGATGTCTCTTGTGAATGTCTTATCTACTTTTGGCAACAACATTATTAAAATTCAAGTCTCATAATTTAAACAAATCTTTTATCCTCTACTTCAAATCCTGTAAGACTTGCATATTACACATTGCAGGCTGTTTATCCATTAGGCTGATTATAGGATCTCCTCAAAACTGATAACATTAGGAAATGCTAATTACTGTTTATTTTTTTGAGTAGAATTAATTACTCTGTATAGTATTGTAATGTTATCTTGAAAGGATCTTCAACAAAATATGGATATTAACCAATTGCTTAGAAAATCCAGATATGTTGTGTAGCTGGAAAATGTACAAAGCTCCATATGAAAGTATTCCATCAGTGCTTTCATTCTAGGTAACACTGAATGTGTTCTCCCTTTCTGAAAAAAAAAAAAAAAAGTGTATGTAAAGAATAAAGCACTTTTTTTTTGTTTGTTTTTTTGTTTTTTGTTGGTCATCTGTTTTGGGTGGGTTTCTTTGTGTTTTGTTTTGTTTTTTAAATAGTCAAAAGGTCACAAATGATTTGTTAAGCCTACAAATAAGAAACATTTTGGGAGAAACAGATATTTTATTAAATCATATTAGCATAGTGTGCAGAACTCCTGATGCCAAAAGGTCAAAGAAAAGCTGTCTGATGTGAAACATCGAAGAAATGAACGTGCTATTTGCTGAAATTGCTTTCCTGGCTCTGTGCCCTGGACTTTGCTTCTGTTTGGGAGAGGCTGGTTTCATTGGCTCTTCTAATTATTGGGATGTATGGGTGAATTAGAAGGAATGCTTCTGTGCAGGAAAAAATGTCTGCACCTGTTCCCAGAGCAGGCTGTTTTCACATCTACCTGTAGCCCGTTTCTCCCCTGGAGAACCAACTGGGCTCTTGCAGACAGACACAGTGAAGAGCAGCACTGCAGCTGCTCTCTTTGTGCTGCCTGTTAACAGCCTGCATCTTCCTAGAAAGTGACCTTTTACAATAATTAATTGAAGGCCCCTGGTTTGAACATTAATGTCACACAAGAATTAGTGTAATCATTCATGGGATTAAAATATCATTAGAATGGATGTTAAACATTTCATAGCAGTATGTGGTTAATGTATTTAAGAATTTTCAATAAAGCTCATGGCACTGCATGTACTTTTGCTTATTTACTGCCTGCAAGTATCTGGCATCTATGAATATCTGTTTACATGGAAAAATGTAAATTAGACATTTAATATAGAGGTACTCTTGAAAATGAACTCTCCCTGCATCAACCTGTGCACAGGAACTGTCAGCTTTCCTGACTGTAGCACAGTCCTTGAGAACTCAAGAGTTTAACCCAGAAGATGCATTGATTGTGTCTATTGAAAGCTGACCTGACCTTTGCATGTGACACAGGAGCTCAACCCCTTTCACACAGGAGCAGGGTGGGTGTCCTTGCCTGCCCTAAAATGTGTCCAGTATGGTGTGTTCCTACTTACCCTGTGGTTAAATAATTGGTAGCTATATTTTTAGATGTAACACAAACCTCTTCAGGAACACTTGCAAGACTATCCAATTTTCCATCACAATGTGCTAGATGAGATATGGTCACTGCTGGGATCAGGACACAATCAACTGGACATCAGACTAAGGATTTAGAAGGAGAAAGAGAAATGCTCAGTGTGAGTAGTTTTTACCTCACAAGAATGTCTTTCGCATCCTAAAAAATACAAAACTGATTAAAAAAATCCCCAACTTGGTGCACTATAGAACAGAAGTGATGCAGAACACATCATATAGCTTGCATTTAAAAAAATAATGGTACAAAACTGCACATGTCACTGGTGTCCTGCTTATCCCTCTTGCAGGTCTCAGAAGAATGTTTTGACATCCTTGTTCTAGCTAGAGAAAACCTACTCCAGCAGGAAGGATCAGGTTCATTAAATAGAGAAATACATGTCCTCCTCGTAGGTTAAAATTAGATTACACTTATGCCTTTTCTGCCTCTACTTTGCAGACATGTCTGTTCCCTTTCCCCAACCGCCTTGTCATGGTTGTTTCCCTCTTCCTGCATGGATACGACTTGTTCTGTTCTCCCCTCCTGGAGTGCACAGGGGGAAATGGGTGGAACAGGGTGTGGTAGAAGTGGGTCCTGTCTCAAAGGTATCTTCTGATCTGTGAGGGTGGGTTTTTGTCTCTGGGTGTGTATGGGCTGCTGCCTTGGCATGGTACCATGGGAAATCTCAGCCCAGGCTAGGAGCTCCAATTTTTCCAGAGGTTTTTGGGCTTTCAGGCCCACTTTCACAGTCTCAAATGCTGTTTTGTTCTTGGAAGAGTCTGACCTATAATTTCTGAGGTAATGCAGTATTTGGGCTTCCTATCTATTCTTAAATGAAGCAGGTGGTTCTTCTAAGCCCTGCTGATTTTGGCACTCCTGTCTCTTCCTTTATCATACTTAACCATTTCCTTTTTACCTCCCAACTGCTGTACTTCCCTATATATTTCTCCTGCCCCAGAAAGATTGCATGCATCCAACTGATTTAACTGTCAGTGATCCTAAGCCATAAGCAAAGCATTACAGTGCCCATGGATCCAGTTTTATTTGCCTTTCTATTAAATGCAGTCGTAATTCTTAATTTTCTGATATGTCATTGTTGGATAACTGAAGCATCCCCATATTGGCTTTTACTAGCAACCTGAAATTAAATGTAAATTACAAAATACCCCCAACTTTTGTTGTCTGAAATTCACTTTAAATGAAGCAGATTGAAGAAGTGTTATTTGATTACTTTGGCATTGAGTCAATAAGCTTAAAGTTATTTATTATGGAGAGTTATAGATATGTTTTCCTTGTATGCTCAAGATCATTTCTGGCAACATAAAAGTCCATTATAATCTATAAGTGAGTCACGCTGTGAGAGTTTTAAATGCAGCTCTGACTTGGATCAGTCACAGTCCAAAGCAGGATGAGAAAGATATTCTACATCTTTGCAGAAAAGGTTTGGCAGACGTGGTTAATATCAGCTACTGTAAATACTGTCCTACACCATTTGTCAGGGAGTTTACAAGTCTGGAAGAGAGCAGGTTTGTTCAGATTCTCGGGAAAGATAACCTGAGTGCCACTGAATCAACCAGTTATGTCTGTCTTCTTGTCATCTTTCTGAGAATGCTTTATTGTTGCTTTTCTTCATGTATGTTTTTCTTCCATTATCTTTAGTCCTTTGCTCTGTAAAATCCCTGGTTACCAGAGCTGTGGTGGGTGGTGGTTTTTTGTTTTCCCTTTTTTTTTTAATTTGTGTGTGAGGGTAGTGTTTTGTTTTGTTTATTTTTTTTTATTTATTTTAAGTTTTGTTATTCTTTTTTATCAGAAGAAGGTGAATTTGTTTCTTGGCTCTGGATTGTGCATTGACACCAGCAAAAAAAGGAGAAAAAACTTCTGATACAGTGTTATACCACCAAAAGCACCAAACCTAGCCTGTGCTTGGTCTGTTGTAAGAGGAGAGAGAAAGGAGCAAGATTACATCTCTAAATGCTCCCTGTGTGTTTGCACATGCATGCAGGAAGAAAAATGCTGCAGTTTTTGTTTTAGATACACAAGCAGCTTTTTATCCACTTAAAATCTGGCAAAACGTTTTACACACATCATAGGAGTGGATGGCATTTTTTGCCAGATAAGTTTGTTGTGGTGACCCTTCTCTCCCACTGATACTTGAGGAAATCTATTTCTGCACAATATGTAAGGAAAAATTCTTTTAATACCTACACATTTGCTACTATTTCAAAGGTACCACAAAGGCTGAATTCGAGAGGTTTCGGTCCTGATGCCCTCTAGTTTTCCTTTTAGGAGCTCAGATTCCACTGGTGCTTCAGGAAGGGTTGTACTTTTCTCTGAATAGAGGGACTCTAATGCTGAGATGACGGTTCTTTCCCTGGTGCTGATGAGTGGTCTGGTAAAAAGCCCAAAGATTGGCCTCCCTGGCCCTGACTCCCCAGGAAGCCCTGATACCATCCACACTGATGGTGTACTGTGGATATTGGCATCTTTCTGCTGACTTTAATGTGCCACTGGGTTGTGGGTATCCAACCCTGCTGCTGGATGAACTGACTCTTTGTCAGCAAACGTGCTGAAATGACATCCTATTGAGAAAAATTTTGTTTTCTTCTTCAATAGTGATATGTAAAAAAAAGTGATTTGCTATACTCGTATCTCAAGGCTGGGCAGAATCAAAACACTTTTAAGCAGGCCACAGCTTGACCCTTTTGATTGTTCATAGAGATGTGTGATCTGTGATAGTGGAGGGTCAGGCAGCACAGTTGTCTGAGATTGCTGGGAGGTGACAC